GTGTAAACAGAAATAAATGAATGTATTTGCTTTACTCTATTGACAATGAAACCTAAAAGCGTTTAAGTAATGCCTCAGCCTCAATATGTATTTGGACATGAAAACTGAGATGAAAAACCAACAAATATGTGGCTAATGAATGCAGGAAACATAAAATCACCTTTAAATGATACAAGGCTGCCATTGTCATTAAATACCATTCTGTTGGATACTATCCTCACATTCTTGAAGGATCTGTGAAGTTTCTGCCTTAGGACCTGTTATTATCAAGAAAAAACAATATATTGCAATTGAGAGGCGTGTACAACAATAGAGGAGAAAAGAAAGTGCATATTTTGCAACCTTGCCATCATAAAACTAAATTGATTTTTCAGACCTCTTCAATGATATCAGCGAGCCCTGCAGAGAATATTAACACAGGAATGTCTCTTTCCTGAAAATTACAAAATAGAATATGGGAACCAGTGTCAGAAATTGAATTTTCATATATTTACATTAACATTTCATAAATTCAACTGATAGAAAATAAACATATCAAGATGCAATGTAAGATGTTATATCTGCCAAAGAAGTATACCTCCAGAAACTCAAAAAGTTCAGAGACACCTTCCCTGAAAGCTATGTTAGCATTAGCAACAGATTGTCTTATTGATTCATATGTAAGTCCTCCCTCAACAAGCAGAGCATGTGTTTTTCCCCACCTGATACACCAAATTTAAAGTTTCAGCAAAATGTAATAATGCGAATGCTGAACATTCAACTTAGTGCCTATACGTCCACCATTAACAAACTCACACACCACTCTTCCATGAGCTTCGTTTTCTCTTCAAGTCCAATAGTCGGTGAAAACTCTAATGGATGGTAATATTCATATAATTGCTGCCTTTTGGCATCATATTCTGGATTACCCTGCTGCAAAAGGCCATGACTGGCTACAGAAGCACAAATGACTCTATTAGATATGATCCATAGCAAAATTCTGAATGACATCCATTTCTTTTCTTACATCAAAGGGACCAAAACATACTTTGACCACGAGTTCCATTAACCGAAAACTTAGTTAACGTGGCATCAAAATCAGCAATCACCTGGTACCATGAATTTGTTAATACAATAATAAAAATAGAAACACATTGCGCTGGGAAAGTTTGAAGAACTAACAAACATTTTTGTAAGGGTACCCAATATTATGTCACCAAACTACTACAGTAAGTAAATTCAACAAGCACACCAAGAAAACATATAGAATACTCAATAAAACACTTAAATTAATTATGAACCAAATGCGTGCAGAAACCTGAAGCTTCTGGGGACCACCCGAACGAATTGCATCAATTTTCTTCTCCAACAACGCAGGGTCACCCACCAAGAAGTCCGAAGCAACCTTCACTTCCTCCATTTCTGAATTTCTCCCGCAACAAAAACTAGAAAATGATACCCTTTAATGAAAAAATGTCAGAATAGTTAAAAAATTAAAACGAAGGAAAAGAAAATACAAACTTTAAACATAGATGTGCAATAGCAGGTTAAAAGAAAATGAAGAAAAAAAAAGGGACAAAAAATGGGGTGGGAAGAAGAAGAAAAACCTCGAGGCAGTGTAACGGGAAGAAAAGGAGAAGTGGCGTTGGCGAAAAGAGGTGGCGATGATAGCTTGAACTTGAAGTTGGAAGCATTGATTCATTATAGTAAGTGACCGAATCAAAACTTTCAATTTTAATAATTTCTAAATTTTTAACACTCAAAAACAACTTTTTACTTTGATCAATTTTAATAATTTCTTTTCCCCTCACACTTTTCTCTCTTTATTTTCTTTTTTTGCATCAAGTAAATGTTTTTCTTCCATTAGACACAACTTAAAAATGAATGGCTCCAATTTTTTGTAGAAAGTGATTATAGATTGTGTTTTTCAAGAGTTTGATTGAAACTACTGACTGGTGCAGATGCTTTTTGAAGATGAACTGTGCCCCCTGCAGATAAATATATATTATTTTCTTATGTCATTATCTTTCACCATCGATATTAGATGAAAATCAATCAAGACTAATATTTCTTATGTTTACAAGTCTCATCATAAAAAGAATATTTACAATTTTCTTTTACATTCAATGACAAGTCACAAAATATATACTTTTATTTTATTTTAAATTAATTTACTTAAAGAAAGATAGAGTGTAAATTAAAATAAATAAATAAATAATTTTAAAATAAAATTTTAGTAACATTATACATTAAAATATTAATATAAATAACTTTAATTTCTTTTCGAGATACACTAAAATATAAATTTTAAAAATATATTTTTCTAAACAATAATTTTATAAATTTTAGAAATAACGATAATTTTTTTAAGAGTAACACTAAAATATATATCCATTTAATATTTATATTATAAATTCGGTTTAAATCCTCGGTTGGTCCTCATTTTTGTATGGTAATCTCAGTTGGGTCCTCATTTTTGCAAATGTGCGTTAAATATAGCTCACGTGTTTATACTCTATTATTTGATTACATAAAAATTTTATTTAAATTAAAGAATTATGATATGGCAAAATTGAAGGTGTCAAAGAAGCTTCCAAAGCCCTTCACACGAACACCAATCCTTTCACCTTCCTCTTTCCAAGAGATTCCAGCACTGACATTGGCACGCTCCTCGACCTCGAAGCCAAGTCCCACGCCGTCTTCTCCTCCGACCCTAACCTCTGCAACCTCTCTCTCATCCTCTCCTCCCTCCCATCCCTAATTGATAAACTCCACAAACACAACGGCTACTTTCCACGATCCCTCCTCCAACACTTACCAAAAATATTGTTGTTAATATGACCTGGTATTATATCCAAAAATATTGTTGTTACAGTGACCTGGTATTTATATCCCAAAAAAATTTTCCTTGTTATTGGTGGTGTTGGACCCTCTCCTTTCACCCAGGCTTTTCAGACAGCTTTGTTGAGAAAAAAATGCATGGACGAATGATGAATGAATGAATGGGGGAAGATGATGCCCTTCTGGGACAACTGTTGAATTTCTTGGTGGATCGAATTGGGTTCCTGTGGTGCCCTTTTCTGTTTCTGATTTCTTGGTGGATCGAATTGGTTCTCCAGAATTGGTTCTCCAGTATACGAAACCCAAACCAATTAATTAATGATAAATCCAATTCGGGAAACTTTAATGTTTATGATAAAATTGGAAATTAAAATCCCAATTATGTTTCTGGAATTTAATCCTCCAGAAAATCTCTTTTAAGAACCCTAATTAAAATCTGAAATCTAAATTGGAAAAATTCCCAATTTGAAACCCTAATGCTCCTGAACCCTAAGGAAAATCCAATTTTCTGGTTTCCTTCTTCTCTGGTGCTGTGGAGAAACCACCTCTAGAGGCTTCTTCTTCTTGGTTCAGGTCGTGAAGGTGCAGGCAGTGGCAGTTCGCACATTAGGTCTCGCCATTTTTGGTTTTTGCTTCTGCTCTTCTTCTCCTTTAGTGCATTGCTCAACCATGATTTCATTCTCTCACGAATGGCGGCATAGCAGCAGCAATCATTCGGTGCGGCATAGCGACAGCGATCATTCGATGTGGCATAGTGGCAACGATTCGATGCGGCGCAACGACATAGGCGCGGCCCATGGGGTTTCGTGTTCGTGCAACAACAGCGACCCACAGTGGCGACGATGAAGGCGCGACAAGGAGGACTCGCTCAATGGTTTTTATCTTTTTAATTACCCAATCAATGGTATGCCTGCTAATGACTTGCGTCGGCGAAACTCCGCCAACGAGGTCCATGGGTGAGTGAGCCTAGTGAAGTGAGTGGTGGAGGGAGTCTAACCAGATTTGGATGTGTCTCAGAAAGGTTCGATTAGCAACAAATTCATTGGTTCAATTAGTAATACATTTTGCCACGTCAAAAACTCTTAATTTTAAAAAAAATCCACATAATAAAACACTTTTACATCAAAGACCGACCAAGGATTTAAACCTATAAATTATACACCCATCCATGCGAGTTTTATGCCATCTTTAATCCTGACATTGCAGTGATTTAGAAATTTGAACATGGATAAATATTTTACAAAAAATAAATATATCTAAAACTATACTATGAGAGCCAAATTTAAAAGTTGTTATGAAAAGAGAACATAAACCTTAAAAAGGTAAGAAAGCAATTATGCATATACTCTTCTAATTCTGGGTCCCTCACAAATAATGAACGTTATCAACAAAATGCGGTCAAAATTATTATAATTATTAACATTTTTGGAACCACTTGAAAACAAAACAGTGAAAGAATATTATTATAATGGTTATATAACAATCATCATAATATTAAAAATTAAAACAAAGGCGGCAATTACATTAATTTTTAAAGTATTTTATTATTATTTAATTTATTTATAAGAATATTAAAAAAGTATTGCATACATGGAATACATGTCAGGACTGGGAAGACATTTTTAAAATGATTGACAAAATTTGTAGCCGTTGGAACTCAGGCACTTCACTCTCTTTCTTACTCTGTTTTGGGAATCCAAGAAGAAAAGCATCATCCATTCACAATCTCTGTTTCTACGCATCATTATTCTTTAACCCAATTCTGACAACTACATCCATTCCAATTTTCTCTGGTTACAGATAATAATTCCGTTGCAAAAGCTCACGCAAAGAATGAAGGGTGTGAAAGGAAAATTTCTGAAGAAGCTCAAATCGATCAAGCCAATCGGGTATCTCAAGCAAGATCGAATTCTCCAACTGAAGGCCTCAGATGGGTACGTCGATTTCCTCCCAAAGATTCCGAGTTTCAATCTGCACGCTCCATTCGTTTTCCGGGAAAACAAGCCCGAGAAAACTGTTCAGAGCTGCGAGGAAGTGAAAATGCAGGAGGAACCTGAGGTCATAGACGTGGCAGAGCTGATGAAAGACCTTGAAGAAGAAGAAATGGATTTGGAAGATTACAATGACAACAAAGAGAACATAGGTCCATGTTCTGTGAAACCCCAGCANCAGAAATAAATGAATGTATTTGCTTTACTCTATTGACAATGAAACCTAAAAGCGTTTAAGTAATGCCTCAGCCTCAATATGTATTTGGACATGAAAACTGAGATGAAAAACCAACAAATATGTGGCTAATGAATGCAGGAAACATAAAATCACCTTTAAATGATACAAGGCTGCCATTGTCATTAAATACCATTCTGTTGGATACTATCCTCACATTCTTGAAGGATCTGTGAAGTTTCTGCCTTAGGACCTGTTATTATCAAGAAAAAACAATATATTGCAATTGAGAGGCGTGTACAACAATAGAGGAGAAAAGAAAGTGCATATTTTGCAACCTTGCCATCATAAAACTAAATTGATTTTTCAGACCTCTTCAATGATATCAGCGAGCCCTGCAGAGAATATTAACACAGGAATGTCTCTTTCCTGAAAATTACAAAATAGAATATGGGAACCAGTGTCAGAAATTGAATTTTCATATATTTACATTAACATTTCATAAATTCAACTGATAGAAAATAAACATATCAAGATGCAATGTAAGATTTTATATCTGCCAAAGAAGTATACCTCCAGAAACTCAAAAAGTTCAGAGACACCTTCCCTGAAAGCTATGTTAGCATTAGCAACAGATTGTCTTATTGATTCATATGTAAGTCCTCCCTCAACAAGCAGAGCATGTGTTTTTCCCCACCTGATACACCAAATTTAAAGTTTCAGCAAAATGTAATAATGCGAATGCTGAACATTCAACTTAGTGCCTATACGTCCACCATTAACAAACTCACACACCACTCTTCCATGAGCTTCGTTTTCTCTTCAAGTCCAATAGTCGGTGAAAACTCTAATGGATGGTAATATTCATATAATTGCTGCCTTTTGGCATCATATTCTGGATTACCCTGCTGCAAAAGGCCATGACTGGCTACAGAAGCACAAATGACTCTATTAGATATGATCCATAGCAAAATTCTGAATGACATCCATTTCTTTTCTTACATCAAAGGGACCAAAACATACTTTGACCACGAGTTCCATTAACCGAAAACTTAGTTAACGTGGCATCAAAATCAGCAATCACCTGGTACCATGAATTTGTTAATACAATAATAAAAATAGAAACACATTGCGCTGGGAAAGTTTGAAGAACTAACAAACATTTTTGTAAGGGTACCCAATATTATGTCACCAAACTACTACAGTAAGTAAATTCAACAAGCACACCAAGAAAACATATAGAATACTCAATAAAACACTTAAATTAATTATGAACCAAATGCGTGCAGAAACCTGAAGCTTCTGGGGACCACCCGAACGAATTGCATCAATTTTCTTCTCCAACAACGCAGGGTCACCCACCAAGAAGTCCGAAGCAACCTTCACTTCCTCCATTTCTGAATTTCTCCCGCAACAAAAACTAGAAAATGATACCCTTTAATGAAAAAATGTCAGAATAGTTAAAAAATTAAAACGAAGGAAAAGAAAATACAAACTTTAAACATAGATGTGCAATAGCAGGTTAAAAGAAAATGAAGAAAAAAAAAGGGACAAAAATGGGGTGGGAAGAAGAAGAAGAACCTCGAGGCAGTGTAACGGGAAGAAAAGGAGAAGTGGCGTTGGCGAAAAGAGGTGGCGATGATAGCTTGAACTTGAAGTTGGAAGCATTGATTCATTATAGTTAGTGACCGAATCAAAACTTTCAATTTTAATAATTTCTAAATTTTTAACACTCAAAAACAACTTTTTACTTTGATCAATTTTAATAATTTCTTTTCCCCTCACACTTTTCTCTCTTTATTTTCTTTTTTTGCATCAAGTAAATGTTTTTCTTCCATTAGACACAACTTAAAAATGAATGGCTCCAATTTTTTGTAGAAAGTGATTATAGATTGTGTTTTTCAAGAGTTTGATTGAAACTACTGACTGGTGCAGATGCTTTTTGAAGATGAACTGTGCCCCCTGCAGATAAATATATATTATTTTCTTATGTCATTATCTTTCACCATCGATATTAGATGAAAATCAATCAAGACTAATATTTCTTATGTTTACAAGTCTCATCATAAAAAGAATATTTACAATTTTCTTTTACATTCAATGACAAGTCACAAAATATATACTTTTATTTGATTTTAAATTAATTTACTTAAAGAAAGATAGAGTGTAAATTAAAATAAATAATTTTAAAATAAAATTTTAGTAACATTATACATTAAAATATTAATATAAATAACTTTAATTTCTTTTCGAGATACACTAAAATATAAATTTTAAAAATATATTTTTCTAAACAATAATTTTATAAATTTTAGAAATAACGATAATTTTTTTAAGAGTAACACTAAAATATATATCCATTTAATATTTATATTATAAATT